GCATCTGACTCTTGGTTTCAGCTCAGATCATGACATCCGGGTTGTGGAATCGAGCCCTGTGGTGGGGGGGGGTCCACGGGGGGGGGGTCCATGCTCAGCAGGGAGTCTGCTCGGGATTCTCTCTCTCCCTCTGCCCCTCCACCACCCCTCCCTCCCTCTCTCTCTCTCTCTCTCATAAATAAAATTTAAAAAAAATAAATGGGGATTATATAGTCCATCAGAAAAGAATACCAAAATAAGTTCACTAGGTTAAGGACAAAATTGGCTAATACCTACATGGTCTTAAGACCATGACCTTTGTGGTGGTTTTTTCTACTAGACAGAAATTATTTCTATATATACTGGACAATGCTGTGTAAGTTAGTATGTAATTTCTGAGCCCCAATTAATAGTAAATAGAAATCAAACAAAGGTATATCCCTCCAGGTAATTAAATAATCCTTGGATTGGCCTGTTAGACAATGCTCCAGGATGGCAGCTCCAAGTTTTGGTCAATTGTCATGAAGCGAGTGCTGTGGACTCTTAGGTTCACCTGAATGAGATTATGTCTAAGAGGAGCCTGAGAGCCCTACCCTAGGGGAATAGTGTTGGGGCGGGGGGTGGGGGTCTGCCTAACGACCTTTAGGCTGGAGAAGACTTAGTGTGGGGACCCAAATGCTCACCTCGGCATTATTCTTAAATTGTAGGTTTGAGGCAATAGTTGAAGAGTGCAGAGATCTTATTTATACCACTCAAAAGCAGCAGTTAAAGGCCATTACAAGGCAGGAGGGGTGAGACGTGCCCTAAGTTGCTCCAAGGGGAAGGCAGGGCGACAGTGGAGATGGTTTGGGATCATTTATAAGAGAGCTTCCTTATTGTGAAAGAGCTTCATCGAGGCCAGTGTGTGCCTTCAGAACAAGAACATTGCCTCACTGTGAATTCTCTGGCAAAAGCACAACCCTCATAAGCCTCACCTCACTGGTGAGCAAGTGAGGGAGACAGAGGGGTCACACTTCAGATGAGTTTCTGTCATTCTGTAAAAATTAAGTGATTGCCTTTTAATTAAAAAATAAAAAACACCTTTTCCAAGACTTAACATTCAACATCCTGGAGACAGACGCCTAAGAACTCAGTTTTGGTTTCTGTGTGATCACAATAGTTGTTGCAGCAAAACCTTTTGACAACATTTTCTCTTTTAAAAAAATGATAATTCACTTAAGTTTTGCCTTTTTAACTAATATTTCTGGTGAGAGAGGTGTATTTACAGTTTTGTTGTTGCTTTTGTTGTTATTTAGGTGTTTGGGGTTTTTTTTGGCTTGTATTGTGACTAAATCTCAGTGTCGAGATTTGACACTTTTTTTTCCTCCCCACTAAAGCCATTGAAATATATTCACCCAGTCATTCACATCAGAGGTGTAAATGGATTTTCTGAAGGTTTTTTTAAGCGCCAATCAAAGCCAGTCACTTTGTGACTTGACTTCTTCAGGTGTTGGAATCAGAAAGCTTAACACTCCATCTCAATTGCAAGGATGCTAAAACTATGTCTTGACCTTGAATCTGCAAGCAGAGGGGTAACATCTTTTGCTAGAAGTGCTCATCCACCACCTCTTTGGTTTTATCCATTTGCATAGGACTTATTGGGGAAAGAGAAAAGAGACGATCAAATTGAGCCTTCTGTATACCCGAGAGAAAAGAACATGTTTATTTGACTTTCCAGCTCCCAGTGATTGTTGCTGTTACAGTTTACATTTTCAGCTCACCCTTTTTACCATTGATATTTGTAAAAACCTGACTTTAAAAAATGTATCAACCGTGTCAGACAAAGGCTGATTTCTCAATTTGTTTCATGTCATCAAAAAGACATACTGAGTTTGAAGCTCCTCTCAGGTTTACTCTTAAAATATAACCCTGAGGAAATAGGGTAAGACTGCCAAGATTTTATTTACACCATTCAGGCTCATAGGCTGTGGAGTCAGAGAGATAGAGCTTGAATTCCTGGCATTGCCTCTGCCTACTTCACTCGATATCTCTGAGACTCAGTTTCCTTCTGTAGGAGATTGGGATAATAATAGTACCTACCCCATAGGGTTGTTGTGAGAGTTCCATAAGATAACATTCATGAAGTCCTTAGTACATCATCGATGTGAAATAAGCGCTCCATAAATGTTGGCTATTAGTATTTTGATAATTATTATAATGACTCCACTAAAACTTACGGTGTTCTTGTCACGATTAATGGCATTGTGACTGACTCACTTCCTAATACAATTGAAAAACAGATTTCAGCACTGTATAACAATTCATTCTTAATTAATGAAATTGAATCAACATTTTTTGAGAAAATAATGAGGAATCTTAAATCCAGAATTAGAAAACACATCCTATTTGCCAGGAAATTTTTAATATTTTAGGAACAAATACCATAAGTCTTTGGAAGAACTGCAAAGAAGCTATTGTGTGTTGGGAACTATACACTTGAAATATTCAGGCAGGAAAACCTGCAGATAATAGTGCTCTGCCTTCCAAAGTAAAGTCATCTTAAGAATTGGTTATCACCTTGAGAGCAAGATCATACAGCAACTAATCACTACACATATGTCCTAAGCAGAACTCCGTAGAGAACTGTACTGGCTGCTGAAACCTGCCACCCAGGACCAGTGGTGTAGCGGAGTCAGTTCTGGATTTGGGGCTGAGCAATAAAGCAGGCTCAAATCCAGGTTTTGCCTTTGCCATTTATTCACTGTATGACTTTGGGCTGTTTGCTTGGCTTTTCTAAACCCTGGTTTCCTCGTCTATAAAATGGACCTATGATGTAACCTACCTCCTTCAGTAGGGGAGGGCCAAATTTTAAAACGTGCTGTGTGAAAGTGCTGAAGCAAAATACCATTAATAGTCCTGGTATTATTACTAATACTTTTAGTATTCCTCTGTGGCAAAGGAAAATTAGTGGTCACCAGAAAGAATGTGGGTCCCCATGTACTTATATGACGCCAGTGTGGTTTTACCTCCTCTAATATAAGACAAATGTCCTCTGAGTGTTGACAATGCTCAACCTTTGTCCTAGTTGACAATTCTAATCCTATCACAGAATACCATACCTCGTTTCTCATAAGAGTTATTAGTGCTGTTGGTGTTTCATAATTAACATTAACGTAAGTTTCTATTTTCTTTTATCTGGATTTGGGTAAATTGACAGATAACAAAGGAAAAACTGGTTAGCTTATAAGCCAAGTCCAATTTTTTCTCCATATATGAAATTATTTACCACTTCACTGTACCTTTACTTGACGTTCTTCAGTAGTTTGCCATTGTTGATAAGATCAACTTCAGGATCCCTCTTCTGGCCACAAGGTCCTTGGTGACCTGGTCTCTGATGCCTCCGTTTCATACTTTCTTCCCACCCTGCTCAACTTTGTATAGCTCTATGAATTCCCTTCCCTCTTCCTGGAAAATCCTTGTTTTCCTTTCTGCCAGATCAGTTTCCATTAATTCTTCTAATTAATGGAACAGTGCCTGGCATATAAGTGAACATTGAATAAATGTTTAAGCAAATTGACTTGAAATCAGAAGGCTCCCACATAGACTGAAACAGCCAGATATTTTCATTTCCACATGGCCTTGGAAAGTTTGGAATTCCTCCTAAAGTCTGAATATATTCCATATCATTGAAGGACAGTAGCTCTTAAATATTACTTTGGCATTTTGCACATTTAGCTCTCCTAAATGTGCTGATGAGAACCTGTTTCATAGACACCAATGGAGTTGATAAGCCACAATACATATTTTAATTAACAGATTAGAAATAAAGCACTTAAAGTGTTGTATTCATTATTACCAGCTGCAAAAGTTTGCACAATAAAGAAGCATTTATTCTATTACTTAACAATAAAACAAGCTCATGTGTGAATCTTCACTTGTGGTATATTGCCTAAGAAAGTCATAGTAGCAGTGTTCATATAAGGTAGCCAGTCCCTCTTGGGCCATATCCAAAAGAATTTAGTTATTGTAATGATGAAAGGATTTCATATAAATACCAAAAGGACTTTTTTCCAAATGTAATGAAGTGGTCCCAGACCTTAATTCCTGGGCTCAGTATAGTCTCTGTCTGTCTGTTTCTCACACACACATACATATACACACACTCTTTGGAATTTTAAAGTTCCAAGTAGAATTCATTAATAACAATATGAAATGCTTTTTCTTGTATAAATCATAATGAAGTGTTGAGCGATAAAGGAAGAACTAAGAGGAACGAATAATCATCTGCTGCTCTAAAACTGAAACCTGTCATGTTAACTCCCAACTCAAACACCTAGTTTTAAAGATTTACCTTCAAGAAACCTAAAAGCTTGTATCCTGCCTCATTGACAACAGCCTCAAACTGTTTCCTGTCATTGCAGAAAACAAATCTTTTGCTCCTTTCTGCCTAGGGGAGGCAGAGGGACTGAGGTGGTCCTATGTGGCTGAATTAGATGAAAGACTTGCCTTCCACCATGGAGACATGGAGTCTAATCAAGTGAAATGAGTTTTGAGATCCCAGCTCATTTCCTAGGGGAGATCGGTTCACATTACAAAATCACGACATCTCATTCATCACAGCTGACGTGGTCTTTGCTCAGGAGAGGACTCCAACTGGGACTGAACCACCTGTCTTCTCTTGAAAGGGGGCACTTTATCCAAGTTAGAGTTGAAAGCCTTGGAGTGAGAAGGCTTGCCAGCTTCACCTGAGTGATACATGTGCAACACGGAAGGCAACTTCCGTTTTAAAAAGGGCAGACGAGTTTAAGGAAGGTTGGTGGTTGTACTTTTAATGGTACCAAATACAAATAATTGTAATAGAGATGCTAAGGCTTTATGGTAGAGAGAGCCAAGATGGGGGCTCCCTCATCCTTATCATCTCGATTTTATTAAACGGAGGTGAGAAGGATCAACATTTCCATGCATCGGAGTTTAAAATGGCAAAGAAAAGTGTCTTGCCTTCCAGGCTGATAAATGATCATCATCTCTTTTATTTCTTTCAGGGCATCGTTATAACACCCCTGCTACTGCTGCTTTTTGTGAGTATTTTGATGTTGTCTTTAATTCTTTTATTAAAAGTCATCTACAACCCTTTAAGAAAGGGCATTAGGATAAAATGGAAATTTGAATCCTTTTGCACCACTTTGCATCATATTTTGAACTGTTCTTCCAGTTGAACTGTGACCAAATAATAACAAGTCGACACAAAGGATCTCTGTGGTCTCATGATCCAAGGACAGCATCAGAGCCATTATTGGGCCTCTGACTCTAGGGCTAAATCATTAATTATTGCAAATTAATGACCTGTGGCATAGATCACAGATATATGCTCTTTCTTTTCTCATTAGTGAATGCTAGTGACCCAGTGTTTGCTAGAAAGAGCCTTGGACCAGGGGACCAGAGAAAAGTTTAGTTCCAAGGCTTATAGTACCTGGCTTTCTCACTCTGGGGAATGCTGCCTGAATTTTTCCATCCGTAGAATGGGAAACAATAACACCTACCCAGGCTGTCTGCCAGGGATAATGAAATGTGCTTCAGAAATAAAAAATACCAGCCACTAGTTAACTAAACAAAAATTTTTCTGAAAAGAAGAAGTGCTAATTAACGGTCTTATTTCTTTTGGCGCTAAGCATATGAGAAATTAGATGAAAGATTAAAATAGAAATTAATGTTATCTCATGCTGAGAAAAGCATATGTAATCATGAACGATACCTAAAATATTTTATGAACTGTGCATTTTTCATACACAACATTTCCCAAATATAAATCACTCCACTCATCACTGAAATGGAGTTGGGGATTGTTTCTGGGCGAGAAATGTAGCTGTTTGACTAGCACTATTTGTCAGTGAATTAAAACTATGGGGAAAATTTATTTAATTATAGTGTAATTACCCAAGTTGGAATTCAATTAGAGTAATAGTGTGAGGGACTTCATTTCTTACAAGCTGTGCAGGAAGTGGAGAGGGAGAGATGCCCTCCTAAACAGTTGGATTCTGCATCTTTCATGAAAGACATTACCTTCAAGTAATAACCCTCAGCTTCCCCATCCCTTCTGAAATGTTGGCTCCATGCTGACAAGGTTAAGAAGAGTCAAATCATCAGATCACTTCACTCAGCATAACAAACCTCATTAATTTGGATTCTACCAATTCAGAATTCGCAGTGAGTCACATTAATACTGAAGTGAATATTGATTTGCATTCATTTGGAAGAAAAGTCTTGGTGTGTGCCCAACTGCTCACTAGATGTGAGGAACTGGGATCACCGCTTGGTGTTCTTTCCAAGACCTTGGGTCACGATTTCTGAGGGGCAACCCTCAAAAGGCACAGGATGCAGGCCAGTCTGAGGACCCCTCTGAAGACTTGTGGGAAAGCACAGTACATGGTTATGTAGTGCAGGTTTTCTCCACTGCAGAAGACTGGCATCTCTTTCTCATGTGACTCTTTTAAGATGACCTGGGGAGAAGCCACAGCCACAACCATGGGGTTGAGAACTAGGATAGCACTGTGGAATATCTCAGAGTCTGGAATCTCTTGGGCCCTGTTTCAGCTCATGACTACAGAACCAGATGAGTTCTTTTCTCCTTCTCCTGCCCATTTCCAGCCATAACAAGAAATGTTCTCAGCTCGTTAACATGATGACATCACACTGTTGCAAGCTTTCCCCTACTCTTAGACCCGGAGGCTGGTGAGCTTTAGTTGGTTCAATATTTTAAAATAATAGAGCTTGGGGCGCCTGGGTGGCTCAGATGGTTGGGCGTCTGCCTTC